CTTTAGTTCTTCAAACAACTTACTTTTCTTTATCTTGAGAAAGATTTTCACTTTGCTCTGCAATGCCTTTCAGCTATAGTTCCTCATTTCCTTCCCTTTCCTGCCAAACTTTCAAATAAGCATCTAGGAAAATTGCCTCTATTTTCTTTCTTTTCACTTTTTGCCTAGCCACCGACAATTTGGGTACCATCATCACACTTAAGTCAAACCGCTCTTTCATCCCCAGTAACTGCCTTCTTATTATGGAATGTGGAGATCCTTTTCCTGTCTCTCATATTCTCTGATACCATTGAGTGTATTGACATTTCCTTCTTGAAAAATGTGTCTTGAGTGGTTAAATTTATTGAAATTTAAGCATTGGAAAGGGACATTTAGTTCAGCACTTTCATTTTACATCTGGGGGAAACAGAACTAGAAAAATCAAAATGATTTGCCCAGCAAGGTGCAAAAGGCTAAATGTTGGGCTTTGAATACAGGGCTTCCAAAACTATCCAGTTTGAGAACTGCTTTTAGTAAACCTTTAACTGAAACCTTCGTGGTATTTCTAATTTTTATTCCTCCCTATACAAAGACTTTACGACTGTAGTCCCTACTCCTACCCAGTGAATCCGTTCTCCACCTCAGCAGTGAGGATGATGTGTCTGTCAATAAAATGTAAAACAGAAACTGGAAGCCCCCTGGTTAGGCTCCAAGCCCTCTTTATGGAATGTAGAATAAAATCCAAGCCCCTTCCTAGACCTTGAAAGCCCTCCCCATCACCCACTTGACTTTTGATCACATTACCTACAATTACATTTGTGCTCCATCATATGACCTCTCCCTCAGCTTACCAGCAAGGCAAGCCCTGCCCCAAACATTGGCTTTGCAGTTCTTTCCATTTGGAACGCTTATTTTGCCCTTGGCCATTGCATGATAACTTACCTTTATTTGGTTTCTTCGCAAATGACCACCTTCTTGGACAGCCTTCCACTGGATATCACCATATCTAACGCTGTCCCTAAATATACCACTGCCTATCACATTATGCTGTTTTATTTTCTTCATAGGATTTGCCTCTAGCTGCAATTATGTAACTTACTGATTTGATCTGGAATCTGTCAGTATTCCCACCATTACAGTATAAATTCATGAAATATAAGAAATGTTTGTCATATCTTCAGTACCTACGACAATGAATGGTCAATAGTTGGTATTCAATAAACATTTGTGGAATGAAATAGGCCTGAATTTTTCTTGCTCATTTACAAGAATAGCTTCTCTCTTTCAGTCTCCAATCCTATTATTCAAATATTTTCTCAAAAAATTTTTCTGCACTATAATTAAACTTATTTCCTTACAAGCAAATAAGAGCAAAACTTATTCCTGACTGGTAGTCTGTTTCATTTTTCGTTTTAACCGAAAGTTCTACCCTATTCCTCTAACTATTAAAGCATCAGTCATGTTCATTGCCGTGAAATCATATCTCACAGCCATCTTTAGTCATCTCTTCTTCAAAGTCAGTAAAATGACCCTTGCATTTTATCCAGTCTCAAAAAAATTTTCTAATATTCCAATATTCTAATAATTTTCTAATATTCCAATAATATTTCTAATATTCTAATATTAATTTACAAATATTCCAAAGACTCTGGTCTTCCATTCACCATACCTGTGCTTTTTGTATGTGTTAATTAGCTGAAGAACCCTAATTATAATAGGCTAGCTTGGGCCTCCCCGGTGGCGCAGCGGTTGAGCGCTGGGTTGCAAAGCTGCCCGCAGCCGCTGCTGCGCTGGTTCAATCCCCGGCTGCTCCCCGGCCACCGGAGGAGGGTCCCACATGGCGCGCAGACCTCTCCTGACTCCCGCTGCTCCCCTCAGCAGTGTACTTCGGTCCTTCTGCCTGCTCTGCTCCCCACTCTGGCTCTGGTGAATTCTCTCACACACCCCCTGCCCCCCGCGCTTCTGACTGTACCCAGTGCTTGTATAAATAAATAAATAAATCTTAAAAAAAAAAAATGAAGAACATAGGTTCAGGGCCTCCCTGGTGGTGCAGCGGTTGAGCACTGGGCTGCAAAGCTGCCCGCAACCTCTGTAGTGATGGTTCAATACCCGGTTCCATCCCCGGCTGCCTGCGAGGGTCCCACATGGCGTGGAGACCTCTCCTGCAGCCCTCTCTGCTCCCCTCAGCAGTGTAATTCGTCAGTCTGCCTGTTCTGTTCCCCGCTCTGGCTCTGGTGAATTCTCACCCTCCTGCGCTTCTGACGGTACCCAGTGCTTGAATAAATAAATCTAAATAAATCTTAAAAAAAATAAAATAAAAAATAATAGGCTAGCTTATATATGTAATTCATATAGTCTTTAATTTTTCCAGTTGTTTCATATAATAATATTTAGCCACCATGTCTAAATATTGAGAGTGTGTGTATATTAGTGTAATCAATCCTCATTATTTGTGGATAATGTTTTTGTGGATTTTCCTACTCCCTCAAATTTATTTTCAATTCTCACATCAATACTTGTGATGCTTTTGGGGTCACTTATGGGCAATTAGAGTGGTAAAAACTGAGTCATCTAACACATTTCCAGCTGAACTCTAACAAGGTGATACTCTGCTCTCTCATTCTCAATTCTTACATTGTCCTTTTTGTTCTGTATTTAGTGCCACATTGTTTATTTTTTATGCTTTTTTTTTTCAGTGTTTAAAATGACCTCCAAGCACAGTGTTAAGGAGCTGTATAGTGTTCCTGAGTGTAAATGGCTGTGATGTACCTATGGAGAATAACTACACAGATATAGATATAGATATAGAGATTAAATCAGGTGGTTTTAAATATAGACACTCATAAGATAAGTTTATGTATTGATTAGTGAATAAAATGCTGTAACAAGAGCCTCATAGAACCTAACCCGGTAGGTTCCCTGGGAGCAAGGAGTCCGTGGTCACTGTGTTCATGTGAACTTTATAGAATGTAACTACCATAAATAATTAGAATTAACTGTGTATGTGTGTGTTAATATATGTTGTAGTTCACCTTATGAAAGTGTTTAGAAGACAAAAGAAACCAAGAGTTGATGCAGTAAAGTAGCTGGCCCAAGATTATTTGCCAAGCTAGTAAAGTGTAAATCTGGATTCCAACTAATATTCCAAAGACTCTGGTTTTTCCATTCACCATAACTGTGCTTTTTGTATGTTTTAATTAGCTGAAGAACCCTAATTATAATAGGGTAGTTTATATATATATATGTATGTATATTATGTGTATGTGTGTGTATATATATATATATATAAACATATAAACTATATATAATGTGTTAGATATAAGTGGACATTACTGGAAAAACATGAAAAATCATAATTCACATAAAGAAATAGGCATAGGCATTTTAAAGCTCAGCTTGTTTTACAACCAATTTAGTGTTAAATTACAGTGACCCTGAATCATAAAAATGACATGGAAGGAGTTCTTCATTTCAGTCAAGTGGGTTAACTCTACAAATGTCATATTCCTTATTTGGCCAACAGTCAAACCTTAAAGTATCAAAGTTATAAAAACACTATCATGACCTAGAGTCTGTGTGTATACACACACACACACACACACACACACACACACATATGTACCTCCTGGCTTGAGGATGTGTACCTTAAGCTTGATTGGCATCTGCAGCGCTAACTTAGACCTGACATGGGAGTGAACACACCAGTGATTGTGTGTGGTCAGACTTGCCCAGGCCCTGTGGTATAAACAGCTAACACCTTCCTAGTGAATCGCATGATTACATAGATGACAAGGCAAATTATACCCTGAAAGCTATACAAAAAAGTTAACATGGGCCAAGTTACTAAGTGGTCTCCAGTGTTTTATATGTATTTATATACATATACATTAGGATCTGTGTTTATATGTTGTTACATATGTGTGTATAATTTAAGTTTCAAAGAATAAGTTCAATCAGGTATTTTTGGAGCTTCCAAAGCAACTTCATGAACACAATTTGAAAACTCCTTCCCCACATGCTATTCTTTTCTAAGTAGATTATACAAGTGCCTACAAGTTAACAACTCTTATCTTTTGTGATTCTGTATTTGCAGACACCCCTATGTTTGTGCTAAATATAAAGAAGGCTCTCATCAATGATAGTCCCATTTAGGCCACATGGTTGATAACCAACTGTATTAAGATAAAGATGTCTGTAGTAGCAGAGTTAGAATTAAATAGTGTGATAGAGTGATGCCACCTGGTTCCGTAGCACAGGCATCTTGATATATACAAAATTGATGAGTTATTTTTCCTATGATACTCTCTTGACATTTCTTTTTACCTTGAAAACAGAGCCAATCATGAGGCTCAAATGAATACTTCTCAACTTCCAAAAAGCTGCCAGAGACAGGGCAGAGTGAGGAGCTTTCAGCAAAGAGGCAAGACAAGATAACATTTCATGTCTGCCTCAAGGCTACACTACAAATCCTGGAGTGCTAGAACAGGGGCAAGGGGTCTTTAGCAGCTATGTCATTATTGAATCCAAGGAACTAATTGATTTCAGGTTAGAATTCTGAAATCACTGGTATTTCAGTACGCTGTGATAGTTTTTTTTTTTCCCCTCTATTAAGTGGTTGCATGTCTAGTGACTTTAATGATGCTGTTTTCAGGAGCTAAGCTGTTCACAAATCAAGACATCAGGGTTGATTTATTTTTCTCCCATTGGAGCACAGCTGAATTCCATTTTGCAGATAAAAATGGATTAACCACATGACTCCACCTAAGACTTTGTGAGCTTCTTCAACTGGACAGAGGGCATCTGCATTCAGAGGTGGTGACCCAGTTATTTTGTCCTGCCAGGATTTATTAAAAATATTGACTGTATTTACTAATATAAATCCACTCAGAATTTGTGTGGCACAATCCTCTTTTCCTCAGCCCCAGAAAGAATGTAAATACAATAGGGAGATTCTAAACTTTTCAGTCTTAGCCTCTTGCTTATTTTTCAGATATTATTGAAAACAATAATTCTTTCTTCAGGAAAAACTGTCACAGGAAGAGAGAAAACACAAGGAAGCTTTGGAAGAGCTTCACATGGTGGTAGATGAGGATTCAAGGAGCGAAAGCAGCAGTACAGACGAGGGGAAAGAAAAGACCAAATTGCTGTTAGAAAGATTGAAAGCACTAGAGGTAAGAAATGAAACCATTTTTACACATTTAAAGAAAAATAACAGTCTTCTCCTTCTTCTGTTGATACTGGTTTTGAGTGAGTATGAATCTTCCTTTCTCGGTTCTCCCAAAATGAATAGAATCCAGTATGTGATTTCCATGTCAATAATGAACAGAAATTTTCAATTCATAACACTATGAGAGTCTTGATATAGTGATTGTGACTGGATGTAGGACAATAATTCATTTTAAGTTCAGCTCAGTCCTAAACTGGATCAGTTCCTACAATTGTAAGCTTCTTGAGGGAGGGGATATACAGTATTTCACTGTGTTTTCCCAATGTCTGTTGTAATCAATGATTGGGAAAATGAATAAGCAAAATATCTAATGCATATACAGATGACTATAATTTCTTTTAATTTTAAAAAGTGGAGCTATTTCTTCAAAAATGTTGGGTGTTGGGGGAAATGTGCAGAAGTTCTTCATGTAAAACATAAAAGTAGAGGTGAAGCTAAGCTTAAAGGTCCTGTAAGGAGTTATAAACCACAATCCTCCAAAACACTGTTTGGAATCACTGATTTATTACATAGTGGTATTTGAAATCATTTCAAGTGTTCATTCCTGAATTTTTATGCAAAGAACATTCCAGTTAATAATTCTTGATAGAAACTTCACATGCTGAAAGACTCAGTGTAGGTACCTGTCTCTGTAAGTTGAGTTATCTGCTTTCAATTAATTTCCTGTTAGCATTTAAGAACTGGCACATAATTACTTTCATGCAGGGACTGAGGTTATCCCATCTCATCTTAATAAATGAGGTTAAATGGACTATCACCCAACACCTACAGATGTGGTTTTACCATGGGGTCAGTGGAATTCTGAAAACTTCAGTAATGAGAAGAAACTAGATCTAGAAAGATCTTGTTTTCTATACTTGGCTCCTTAGTCCTGCCTCCTAAGCACCATGTTGTCTACAGTGAACATGCTCAATGAGAGTAATGAAACAAAATAGTGAGGATCATGGACTTTGGGACCAGATTCCCAAGGGTCACTAGGTATTCTAGTTCTGCTACCTTCTAGATTTGAAACCTTATATGAGTTTTTTAGGCTCTCTGTGCCTCTGTTTCCTCAACTGCAAAAATGGCCATAATAATATTAACTTACCTTACAGGAAAATAATGAGTATTAAATGAACTAAAATTTGTACAATGGTGCTTAGTACATGATATCTTCTCTCCATACACTCCAATGTTTCTGCCTTCCCGAAATCATTTTTTCCTATTTATTTGAATACAGTAACATAAAAAGTTAAAAATAAAAACTTTTTACTGAATACAAAAGTGTCTGTGGTGGAAAAGATGAGCAAGTGATTTCGAACTTGGGGCAGAAGAAAGGTTAACTTAGGGAATCTGTGGCAATTCCCCTTGACCTAAGAGCCAAGAATCACCCCTGTCTCTTAAAGGTTCTCAGACTTTTCTTGTTTTTAAGATAGTTTTTGTGAAAGATGGGTATCTCAAGGGAGACTGAGTTTACTATTTGAAAGTTTTGAGAAACTCATAGCTTTATCTTGAGGTTCATTTAACTGGCTTTAACCTGGGTGGGAAATGATTTTATTTAGCTAGGTAGAAATGAGTTCATTTAACTGAATAAAAATGCGTTGATGTCACACTTACTTCCCTAGAATCATGTATCTAAGTTGTTTTATTTATGATTACAGTGAAAATTGCTCTTAGTCCATGTAATTGTCACTGAGACCACGTTGTAAAGGACATTTTATTTAATCAAGCTAAAAGGTATTTAAAAAATATCCTTGGCAGCAGTTGTTTCTTAAACTCTCACTGAGTAAAAAGAAGCACTTTTTTTTTCCTTTCATAGAACTCTTCACTTACAAGGTAACAACTCTCTTGCATCAAGCATTGGTTGGATTAAATAGATGATGGCTCTTATGTACCATTAAGCCCACAATTTTAATTTACAAAAATAATTTCTATGATTTCTGTAGCCACAGTGTCACTATTTGATTCTTAAAATTCTTTGCTCAATATTAAGTGAATTTTGACCTCATTCAAATATTATCTACTTGAATAGATAGTTAAGTGATCTTAATTTGAGATATATGTATATGTAAAAATGCCACATCTTCACATGCATGTGTGTGCAAACAACACACACATACATATATTGTACAATTTGCATATTCATTTTGATACTTGATTTTAAAAAATTATACTATGTGTGCTCTGTTCATAAGAGAGCAATTGTTGCAAGAACATGGGAGACTCATTTTCACAGACTACAGTCAGAGATGGTCATAGATCCCACAGAAATTTATGCACTCTAACAAAATACTGCTATGGAAAATTGCAGGAAATTAACCATAATGCTTCAAAATTACTTTGGCAAAATTTTGCTGTTATAATGGCAATATTTTAGAAGACAAAAAATATTTTCCATCAATGTATTTTTGAAAAAAAAACCTTACTTATGTACCTTAGTCTATGGCCCATGATGTGGTGTAGCAGAGACAAATGATTTACAGGACGGTGGAAAGCAGTCCTCCTTAATTCTTGGCCCACAGGTAAATCCGCAGGTCCCCAGAGGGTATGGAATAGGAGAACAGATGCAAGGCTGCATCTAACATTATGTTCTTGATTAATTCCATAATAGTATTAAAAACCAGACTAGATAGTAGCTGAGGAGTCCCTCGTTGTGAGAATCAAGTAAATATTGTCCAAGTACATGTCTCCCAGCACCCGAGAAATGTCCCTTTCCCATCCCAGAATTGTAGCCTCTTCAGGTCATTTCTGGGACTGACTTCTGTTCCACTCAAATCCCAGTCCCTCTTCTCTTCTCAGCACCAACCCCATGTGAATTCCTCTATTTTTCCAAAATCCAACCTGACAAAGGATATGCAGTCGTGGCAGAATGTTGCACTTGGCGTTTAGATACATGAATCCTTGAAGCGCTTCAGCTGCAGAGCATCTTTCACAAGCCCCTTTCTTCTCTGGTTCAGCCTCCTACAGTACAATAGGCTGGCTTTTACCCACTGATCCCCTCCCCCACTGCCAAACTCCCCCTGCTTAATCATGCACAGCTTCCACTTAGGGCCTCATCCCTTATTATTGCCAAACTCTTCAAGATATATTGCTAACATTTCCCTTCCTAAAATGAACTCAAAGGCCACCAGTCAAAATAATTCCACACATGCACACACAGAGACAAATCCCTTCTTTTTCCTCTTAGCAGGCACTTCCTCTACTCAGTGTCTTGATTTCAGCATTTTTCAGTCATTCATGAAGACTAGATAATTTACCCTCACTGCCCTGCAACTAATTCCCCTTGACTTAACTTATAATTTTTGTTTAGAGTCCTCACTTTTGATGGAGAAAACGTTTGGTATAATGTATATCTATACTATAAGGACCAAATGGACAGTCTAAAGGCCATTGACACTTTTTTCTATAACTTTTAAGTACTAGGTGTGATACATATTTTTTTAATTTTGCTGTTTCAGAAACTGCTTACTCAAAGGTTGACATTTTCAACAGTGCTGCCATTCCTGAGGCCTCTTGTATCAAAAGTCACCTTCTTTCTTCCACCATCTTGTTGATTCAAGGGAACTCCTAGATTTGCCGTGTGTCTTTCCTGTTCTTTACTCCTAGGCTTTGACCTCAGGCTCCTGGTTTGCTCATGTACATGATTTGCTTGTCTGCAGCTTTTCCCCACATAGCCACCAACATTTGTTCCCACTCATTGACCAACTTGACAGTGGACAGTCAAGTAGTCAAAGTAGACAAGTAGTTACTTTCAACTCCCAAACAATCTCTTACTCCCAGTCTCTAGCCAAGGGAAAGAAAGGCCTAAGACTACCTGGGAATTATGGGCTTACTGATAGGTTGATGCCTTGGCAATGCCCTCATCAACAAAATATGTCTTCTATTGATAATGGTTTATTTTTTATAGGAAAATATGGCAATTACATGTTTTAAGGCAAATATGGGTTTTTCTACTCAGTTATGTTTTCCATGAAAGCATGGCAATTAAATTGCTAAGCAGGGCCTCCCTGGTGGCGCAGGTGGTTGAGTGCCACACTGTGAAGCTGTCCGCAGCCTCTGCAGTACGGGTTTGATCCCTGCCGGCCTGCAAGAATCCCACATGGCGCAGCAGACCTCTCCTGTCTCGCTCTCTGCTCCCCTCAGCAGTGTATTTCGTCAGTCTGCCTGTTCTGTTCCCTGCTCTGTCTCTGATGAATCCTCTCACCCTCCCGTGCATCTGGCCTGTACCCCGGTTATTATATAAAAATAAATAAAATCTTTAAAAAATAAAAAATAAATTACTAAGAACAAGCATTTTGCTTAAAATGAGGCAGTTTAAAATAATAGGTTTCAAATCTCATGCACATCATAACTGTGTATTGAATTCATAGTCAATATATATGCAGTGAAGGCCTTCTATGAGCCAACTGCTATTCTAGACACTAGAATTAGAATGAATTTTATGGACCCTCGCCCTAGGAATTACCTAATAAAAGTAAACACTTAAATAAAATAATAAATAAGCAAAGAAACAAATAGACAAAAATTCCTCTGAATAAGAAAAATTAGGTGAAACAGTAGTAGTGTGTGGAATGGGAAAGGTATTTACCAAAGATGACTCCTTATAGCTGGCACAGTTTAAATAATAAAAACAGAGACAGCTGTGTGAGGATCTGGAAAAAGAACAAGAAGAATATGCAAGTATGACAGTCCAGAGATGGCAAGTTAGAGTAACACGAGCGAGGACATTATCCTGGGATATATAGTATAAATATAAAAAAATCAGAAGAAAATGAGTAAAGAAAAGTAGAGAGGGGCCATACCCTGTAAAGTCCTATAGGCCATAGTTATAGTAAAGCCTGAATATAATTATAAAGGGAAGTCGTTAGAAATTTTAACGATTTTAACCAGGGAAGTTACATGATCTGACTTGTACTTTAGAAAGACAGTTCTTAATATTGGTGGAGTTATAGTGGGACACAGATA